TATCTAGAATGTGAGGATCCTGGTTTGACCTGATTGTTTGAACAGAGAAACAGTATTGACAACGCAAGGCAGGGCCCAGTTGTGGAGGCAGTTTGACAAGTAGACAGAGTTAAGAGCTCATCTCTGCCACTGCCTAGCCGCATGATCCTGGGTGACTTATTCAACCTCTCCTCCTGGTCCGTCTCCTTATCTACAAGTGAGAACAGTAATAGCACCTTCCTTAGAAGTTCGAGCATTAAATGCAATAATGTATACAAAACTTGAGGACCAAGAAGTGGTAGCAAATGTCATCATGATTGTTACTTGTTACTATTGGGGTATCCAAGACATACCCTCCTGTTGGTGAACCTGACATGTCCCCAGTAGCTAGGATTGGGCTATGAGGATTCTCACCAGGACTGCTTCCTCACAAAGGAAGCAAAACTCTTCCTAGTTCTCTTCCTCTCTTCTCTCACTGTCAATATTTTGTGGTCGCTAATTGGAAGCCTTGCTGGTCAGCAGATTCTCTAGTGTCGTGCCAAGCCAAGCGTCTCCAGGAGAAATGCTTGTGTTAATTTGTCTCAACACTGTTCTATCATTCAGGCACCAGATACTGTTGTGCTACATGTTCAACAATTTTTGCACTTCTCTGATATTGGAGGGGGCATGAGAAGTAAATTTTATGGAACACACACTATCTTCTACTAGCCGTTCCCTAGCACTGTGATCTCTCTCTAATAACACACTAAAATCTCACTTATTCACAACTGTAACCACATTTGTGGGATTGCTAAATATGTGTCCCCTCCTCTATCCTGTGAGCTGGATCTGTCTTGTTCATTACTGTGTCTTTAGCATTTGGTACGGGGCCTGGCACATGTCCATCCCACAAACAAAAAGTATTTTAGCTGTGGACTCTAGCTAATATAATGTGCACCTGTGTGTGCCTGTGCATACAAGACACTTAACTTATAAATGAATGCTCAGCAACGTCTTGTACATGGCATCATGATTAAGAACAAAGATTTTAGGCCGGGTGCGGTGGCTCAAGCCTGTAATCCCAGCACTTTGGGAGGCCGAGGCGGGTGGATCACGAGGTCAAGAGATCGAGACCATCCTGGTCAACACGGTGAAACCCCGTCTCTACTAAAAATACAAAAAATTAGCTGGGCATGGTGGTGTGTGCCTGTAATCCCAGTTACTCAGGAGGCTGAGGCAGGAGAATTGCCTGAACCCAGGAGGCGGAGGTTGCGGTGAGCCGAGATCGTGCCACTGCACTCCAGCCTGGGTAACAAGAGCGAAACTCCGTCTCAAAAAAAAAAAAAAACAAAGATTTTGAAGTCAGACAGACCTGAGTTCAAAATGCAACTTTATCTTAGTGTGTCCCTAAACTGGTTACAAAACCTCTCTGTGCCTTAGTTATCCGCATATATAAAAGAAGGAATCATAATTCCTGCTTCATAGGCTGTTTTCACAACTAAATGAAATAAAACATGTAAAACACAGGGTCTGCGGTATTATAAGCTTTCCATCAACAGTAATTATTAATACCATTAAATGCTTTTACCAAAGGAATGAAAATAATTCCTGGAGCTGCTATTAAAATTTGAATATGCATAGATATGAACTACAAAGCGCTATTCCAATATATAATCTGTACTTGCCCTCTGTGTGCTGCGTAAGGCTGGCACTCCACAAACAAATGGTGGTAGGTCAATTAAAGAATTGTCATCTTTCGTTTCACATCCGTTTTGTGAAAGTGTCATTTCGAGGCTTCACAGTGTTACTACACTGGCCTCCCAATGTGCCAAGTATTTGGGAAATAGATTCCTATGTATAATATTGAAAGGCACCATAAATATACACAATTTTGTTGTCAATTTAAACATTTTAAATAGATGAGTTTAAAGAAAAGGAACTGCAAACGTGCTTTATGTCTTTGAAATAGTCCGCAGGCTCTGTGCTCTTCGGTCCCAAATTCTCGAGAGTCTTGATAGATGAGATATGACTGGCCAGCGCTGAAGCGGTGCATGCTGATAATGAAAACAGTGACTGGCATGTTTTGAGAACCTACTGTGTACCAAGCTTATATGCCAACTATGTGGCTCCTCATTTTGCAGATGGGAAAACTAAAGCTGGAGTCATAAATAAAATGTTCACAGCTAATAGCTGGCAGAGGCAGGAATTGATGACTCCAGAGCACAATTTTCTAAGCCCATCCACTTTACTGCCTCTGGGTCAGGTGTTTTACTTGGAATTTCCAAGCCCCCAGTACTGATGAGATGGCTGTTAGTTTAAACTAATGTGAAAATTTTCCTCCCAGCCAGTTCTCAACTATGAAGATACCAGTCAGAATCCAGGGACCTTCACTAATGCTCAGCTGAAGCCCAAAAGATGAGGGCAGAGACACTGGGTCAGAGGCTGTAATGAGCCATGTGTTTCTGTTTCAATGATTTTTTTTTTAATTTGCAGTTTCAATTCTGATTGATCGATCAGGGTTTTTGTTGCTATTCTCTTCAATGGTTCTGTGAAAATTTTAACATTTTGGTTTAGTTCATGGCTTAATTCAGCAAGATTTGAAACGTAACTTATTATATACTTGGGCTCTTTATATAGAATTGATTATTGACCATGTGAGTGCCTTGAGTAGGCAGGAAAGAAGTAGTCTTGGAGGATGAGTTAACTCAGCAACCTGCAGACCAGTGTTTGGTTTAGCCATACAGAGTCACCATCTTTGTAGGTAAAAAATGATCGAATGTCAGCAAATGCATATGTTTCAACTTAATACTACACATGGAAGGCACCCAGAAGGCAAAGAATCTGTTAACTTATCTGGCTTTGGCTCCAGTGAAGCAACAAATATTCATTGAATATTTGTGAGTAAGACTCTGAGTATGAAGATAAGTAAAAGCAAAATCCTGTCCTCAAGAAGCTTATGTCCTAGTTGAAGAGATAAAACCAACTCATGAATTGTTCAAATAACAATCATAATCTGGAAAATGATAGTTTCGTTGTAAGAGAGTACCTGAGCAAATACTAAATAAATGGCCAGACCAAGAATGATAGGATTTCAGAGAAAAAGAATAGATCATTTGGGGTTAAACAATATGTAGTAGATGAGGTATATGAATCAAAGAGTATTTGGATCAGTGAAGAAGGAATCAGGCAATACATAGTCAAGGTAGAAAGAAGAATTAGAGGCAATTTATGATGGGCGCCAATAACATACTGAGAAGCCATGCCTTTTTCCTGTAAATGGAAATCAGCTGAAGCTACTGAGAGATAATAAGAGCCTGGATATCAGTGCAAATAGACAATCCACACAAAATACTTTGCAGGATCAATGTACACCATGCGGCTAATGGTTACCCTAGGAGCCCACACCTCACCTCTATGCAATATAGCCATGTAACAAAACCACACTTGTACCCATTGAATTTATACAAATTTAGAAACTTTGTGAATCTTAAAAAGACATTGTAGCTATAGTTTACATATAAGGAGACCTAAGGCACAGAGAAGTATCTTGCCTAAGGTCACACAAAAAGTAAATAACCGACTGACATTAGACCCAAGGCAATCCAACAAGAAAGTGCCACTTTTTTTCTTTCTTTTTTGAAGACAGGATATCAATCTTACCCAGGTTGTGGTACAGTGCCCCAGTCATAGCTCATTGCAGCTTCCTTGGCTCAGGTGATCCTTCTTGCCTTATCTTCCCAAGTAGCTGGGACCACAGGCATGCCCCACCATGTCTGGCTAATTGTTTATAGAGATGGGGTCTCCCTATGTTACCGAGGCTGGTCTCAAACTCTTGGGTTCAAGGGATCCTCCCACCTAGGCCTCCCAAAGTGCTGAATACAGGCATGAGCTACCACACTTGGCCAAAGTCCCACTATTTAGCACCATAAGCCAACAAGAGAAATGAAAATGTATCACCAGACAAAAACTGGTACATGAATAATCATAGCAGTATTATTCCTAGCAGTTAAAAAGTAGAAACAACTCAAATGCTCATCAGCTGATAAATGGATAAACAAAATGTGGTATATTCATACAGTAGATACGATTCCTATTACTATTCAGCCATAGGAAGAATGAAGAACTGATACATACTACAGCATGAATGAACCTTGAAAATTTTATGCCAAGTGAAAGGAGCTGGTCAGTCCCAATGTCAATGTATTCTATGATTCTATTTATGTGAAATTTCCATGAGAATCAGAAAGTAGATTGGTGTCTCCCTAGCACTATAGGAATAGGGAATGGAAAGTAACTGCTAATGGGTATGGAGTTTTGGGGGGAGAGGTAAAGAAAATATTCTAAATTTAATTATAGAGATGATTGTGTGATTATGAAATTATATTAAAAACCGCTGAACTCTACACTTTAAGTACATCTTACAGTATGTGAATTGTATATCGCTAAAGCTGTAAAAAAAAATTTAAGCATCTAAGATGCTTAATGGGTATGGAGTTTTGGGGGGGAGGTAAAGAAAGCTGTAAAAAATTTAAGCATCTAAGATGCTAATGGGTATGGAGTTTTGGCGGGGAGGTAAAGAAAATATTCTAAATTTAATTATAGAGATGATTGTGTGATTATGCAATTATACTAAAAACCGCTGAACTCTACACTTTAAGTACATCTTACAGTATGTGAATTGTATATCGCTAAAGCTGTAAAAAAATTTAAGCATCTAAGATGACTCCAGGTTTTATGCTGTGACACCCAGATACCAACAGAAACAGAAACAGAGTTAGATACGTAGATTTGTCAGTTCCATATCTACGAATGGGATAGGTCCCATGCCAGTCCTTCCATGGGAATGAAAATCCAGAAACTAATGACAGCTTTTTGTGCTGCCAGAGAGCTCACAGTGCTCTGTTAGCAACTTAGATTCTGCAGGCACCAGCCCTGCTTAGAAGACTCTCAGTTACAGTGTTAGCTTCCTAACCAGTCCAAACATGTTAGAGTCAGTTGATAAGGATGTGCTACATTTGTCTTGTTTTGCTTTTGTTCTGCAGTTTTTGAAGAGCCTGAAGATCCAAGCAACAGATCATTTTTCTCTGAAATTATCTCGTCGATTTCGGATGTGAAGTTCAGCCACAGTGGAAGGTATATCATGACCAGGGACTATCTGACCGTTAAAGTCTGGGATCTCAACATGGAAAACCGCCCCATCGAGACTTACCAGGTACAGAACCCCAGGCACCCATAGGTATATTGAACACTCCCTTTGTGAGCTTTTAAGTCAGCCCCTGTTTATAATCCAGCAAAATGAAAGGCAATGCATGCTGATACAGTCAGTAAAATGACACAGGCTGTAAGTGCCACAGGATTTAAGATAAAGGTACATGTGGAGAGGCTAGAATTCAATTTAATTGATATGGACTGAGCACTTCATGTGGAATGGATATTATAGAGGTAAACAAATGGTTCTGCTCTCATGAAGCTTACCATCTGGTAGAAAAGTCAGATGATGAACGAGGAATTGAGTGTGCATCTCTGCAAGAGATGGTCCAGCCAGGTGAGGAAGGTTTTCCCAAAGAAGTGACCCTTACACTGAGTCTTGACTGCCATGAACTAGTCAGGAAATGCATGCTCTTAAAGTAGTGTGTTCAAAGGCCTGGAGTCAAGAGAAATGAGGTGTATTCAGGATGCTCATACCTTGAATATGAATCACAAAGGCAGAAAGATGAGCCTGGAGATAGAAGCAAAGGGCTGATCACTAGGCCCTGGTAATGTAGAGTAGGCTGTTTTGCCTGTGGATTGGGTACAATGGAGAGCCATTCAAGTTTTACACCAGGAAATGACATTGTGAGTTTTAGTTTTTACTGTGTGTTTCACTTTGCGGTTTGCCAGATGGACAATTTACATAAGAGAAGATGATGGCAATTTGGTCTGGTAATGGTAGCGTCCAGATGGAAGGATGGGTAGGCTGAAGAGTCAGTGAGGTTTGCTTGGTACTGATTAAATGTGCAGGGAGAGGAATCAAGAAAACTGTGTGGAAGTTTTGGACTTAATGTTGGGTAGATGGTGTAAATGCAAGGGAAGAAAGGAGAAGGAATTGTTTAGCGTGGTTTTGTTGAAAGAGGAAGACCAGACTTTGAAGTAGAGAAGATTTAAAGAAGCAAAATCCAGGCAAGAATATAATGAAAGAGGCAATCATGAAAGCAAAGATCCAGTGGTGGGGATAAACTAACCCTATTTTAAGCTATTTGGGGTTAGATAAAAAGAAGTGGGGGAATTCTAGGCAGAAGGATTTGATTTACATTTTTTCCTTGAGATACAATTTACATATCATAATAATCAGCCTTTCAAAGTGCACAATTCAATGATCTTAGTTTACTCACAAACCACCACTATCTAATTCCAGATCATTTTCATCACTGACATTTTTTAAATGAGCATTCTGGTTGTGCTGGGGAGGACATGTGTGTGGAAGGGACGTTGGAATGAAGGTAGCCAGATTTTGATATATTCCCAAGGTAAAAGGTAATCCAAGGATTACTCCAAAATTTTTGTCCTGAGCAATTAGAAAAGTAGAGTTGCCAGTTTATTTAGATGAGAAAATCGAGAGTTTGGTTTTGGCTCTGTTAAGCCAATTAAACATCCAAACAGACACAGCAAGTAGACAGCTGAATGTGAGTCTGGATATATTTAGCTTCAAGACATAAATCTGACACTCACAAGAAGATACAGGGTATTTAAAGCCACAGGACTGGATGAGATCTCCTAGGCAATTAGTATAATTAAAGAAGAGGTTATAAAATATGACCCAGTTGAGGACAGGAGGAGGATTTGGCAAGAGAGATTTGGGGAAACTAGCCAGTGAGATGAGAGGAGTGACTAGGAAGCCAAGTGGAGAAAGTGTCTTAAAGAAAAAGAAGTCACTGACTGCCACATGCTTTGCTGAATCAAGTACAGAAGACTAAGAGCTTGGATTTAGTAAGTGGAGGTTATCCGTAGCCCGAATGACAGAGGAATAGGTAGAGAGTGGTGTGAATAAATGTCTGATTGGGGTGAGTTCAAGAAATGGAAGATGGGAACATAATGAGGACAAACAACTGTTTCAACAAGTTTACTCTGACAAAGAACAGAGAAATGGAAGAGTAGCTGAAATGGGATTCTGGCTGAAGGAAATTATTACAGTATGTTTTCTGCTGATAGGAATAAGCCACTAGAGAGACCATTAGAGAGAGAGAGAGAGAGAGAGAGACCACTGAAAGAGCAAAGCCCTTGAGGGAAGCCAGAGGGGATGGAGTCCATTGCAGAATTGGCCATAGATGGTAAGATACATAGATAATTCATCAGTCAAAGGAAGGAGAGCAGTCTTCATAGATAGATGAAGCAGGTTTGTGAATTTTGTGATGGGAGCATGTAGGTGTTTTCTTTAGCAAAATAAATAGTAAGGTCATTAGCTGAATGGGAAGGAAGAAAAGGGGTGAAGTTTTCATCTAAGAAACAGAAATGTTGTAGAGTGGTAGGTTTGCTCAGGGATCCACTCCAAATTTATATAATAAATTTAAAGGGAGATGAATTTGCATGATTACGTTTCTTCCCAGCCACATTTGCCAGCTTGGTACAGGTAAAGAAAGGGTAGAAGTTTAGATTTCACCAGTGATGGGGTTTTGCCAAATGAGTACAATGGAAAGAGAGAACAAGAAAGGCCACCTTGTTGAATATATATGCTAAGGGAGTGACCGTAATGATGCACTGCTAAATGGAAGCTGGGGGAAAAGGGAGATCATGAATTTGAAGAACTGGTAGAATCAGTATACTAGAAGGAGTGAACTAAAAAGTCAGGAGATAACAACGGCAACAGAGTGAGACTCATTCCGCAGGTAGTACAGAGATAGCAATGACCAGGTTCATAATGTGACCAAGAAAGCAAAGGACAAAACCCATTGAATATGATGGGATCAAGTAACTGGGAGACTAGAGTGCTTGAATAAAAATAGTGGCAGGAGGCTGGGCGCGGTGGCTTATGCCTGTAATCCCAGCACTTTGGGAGGCCGAGGCAGGTGGATCATGAGGTCAAGAGATCGAGACCATCCTGGTCAACATGATGAAACCCCGTCTCTACTAAAAATACAAAAAATTAGCTGGGCATGGTGGCACGTGCCTGTAATCCCAGCTACTCAGGAGGCTGAGGCAGGAGAATTGCCTGAACCCAGGAGGCGGAGGTTGTGGTGAGCCTAGACCACGCCATTGCACTCCAGCCTGGGTAACAAGAGCAAAACTCCATCACAAAAAAAAAAAAAAAAAAAAAAAAAAAAAATAGTAGCAGGAATAGTGACGGAAGAGACAGAGGTGCCAACTTGCTTCAAGGAATGAGCATTATGGACTCAGAACTTTTGATGGCTGAAAGACAGGTAGCATGAAGTTTAGTTTGATGGCATGATTTCAAAGGAGTTGAGGACTTTAAACAGGAATCGTCCAGAGCAGCAAGAAGCCCACCTACCCAACATTGGCAGGTGGAGTGACAGCAAAACTCTAGCTACCACTTGAGTGTTTGCAGAGGAGATCCAGATTCCAGTCAGAGGAAGAAGAAGGTTCAAAGATGAGGTTGAGGATACTGGAGACTTTGACGACTCCCTGTAGCAGGTGCTGGAGAAAGGTTTGGGAGCCAGAATTCACAGCTATATATGTAGTGGAGATAGCTTTGTTTCCCCTATGGTCCAGTACACTCCCTGTTATTTAGAGTGTTATGTCTCCTAAACCCTACCTCAACTTCAGGGCATGGCTCCACATCACTTGCCCCCAAGTTTTCACTTACAGCCCTTCATCTTGAGCCCAGGACTAGAGTCACCACTAGTGTCCTATTCCAGCTCCATAAGACAAACTGTATAGTGTTCAGATCCTTAACGCAAAAGAAAGGACAGTGGGAACTAGGACCTGGGTGTGGCTACTGGGGAGCCTTGACTAGGAAGAGCAGACTTAGGACAAAGCTAGTTTTAGAATACAGTTAGCTAGCTTTTACATGAAGTAGCTTAAAGATGGTCAGTAAACTCTGATTCGGCGAGCCTCCAGAACACCACGATAGGTTGTGAGGTCCAGTGGGGAAGAATTTAGTGATCAGTTAATATACGCAATGCTACTATTTTACGTTTTCATACATGCATTCACAGATCTCAATCATGTTTCCATGAATAAAAGGCTGCAGACTTAAGCATGATTGGGCATTTTCAAGTTTTCCTGTAGAACAGGGGTTGGCAGACTGCAACTTGTGTTCCAAACCAGCCCCCTATTTGTCTTTGTAGGTAAGTTTTATTGTCACAGCCATATACAATCACTTACTCATCTTCCATGGCTGCTTCTGTGCTGCAATGGCAGAGTTGAGTCATTGTCGTAGAGACCATATGGTCCACAGAGCTTAAAATATTTACTGTCTGGCCCTTTGGAGAAAAAGTTTGTCAACACTTGAACTATAAGAACAGACCAATAGAGTTGGCTCTTGGTTGGCCTCATAGCAGTCCACTAATTATAGGACACTTGACTCCCACAGTAAATATGAGAACCACTCAGTTTAGTGTCAGAAAGCCCATGCACAAGCTAATAGTATCATAGAAAAGTCATATTAGGAAGATGAAAAAAGAACATCAAATAGGATGAGTTTTAAGTTCTCTCTTGCTCCATGCTCTAGGTGTTGCTCATGTATACATCTTACCTTATTTGCTCCTCTGGTAGAGAAAGGTCCCTCTGATTTGCCTAAGAAGACTTTTTCCTATGCAACAAAGGGTAAATACAGCATACCTTCATCGTAGGTGTTCTTTTTCTTTAAATGCTGTCAATTGGAGGCAGGCAGGAACTACCCAGACCGTACATGCAGATGAGGAGAAGTAACACTTCAGACTAGGTTTTCCCTTGAGTCCGTCCCAACTTCTACCTTTCAAGAATTATTCACAGAGTTCTCAGCAATGTCATTCCTGCTAATAGGCATACACTTCCAAAACACACATGTGTTGATGTTTGATATTCACCTGCAGTGTTTCTATAAGACAAAATCCCAAAGGTGAATGGTGACATGTGAGGAAAGGTTCATCACAAAGAGGACATATGGAACTAGACCTTTAAAAGCTCCCCACTGCCCAGTTTATAAACCTTCTACTGTGCCCCTTAGGGAAGGTCAGTGAGTTAGTTTATAGCAAAGATGCCTCTGTAGGAGTAGAATACAGCCTAACCCTCACAGCCCCCAAATGCATCTGAGAATGCCAACAGCACTACTGTAGGGGAATTCCCTGGTCACCAAAGCACTGAAGCTGTTATCCTGACAAGGCCTGGAACTGTTTGGAAATAAGAGAGTAAAGGTGGGGGGAAATGAATTTGCAGAGTGAGAAATAACTTCCACTGTCCAAATAACTCAGCGCTTTTCAAATACCCAAAACATCTAATGGAACATAGGATGAGCCTGACCTCATTCCTTTGCCCTAGACTTAAGCACACAACTAGGTCTCAAGCTCAGCATCCAACAGAACTGTTGAGATCAAAGGAAGAGAAGGAGCCACAGCTGCAGAAAAAAGGAGATTGAATCATCACTCTTAACTTAAATACCAATACCCTTGGTAGCCTCCCTCTGCTTTTACTCAGTTCTATCTCGTCTCTCAGCCTCACTAGAGTTCATTATCACAGCTCCTGTCAAGGACTAGGACCCACCAGAGCAAGCTGGAGCCAGGTTGCTAGTTCAGCTCAGAGTGTGTGCTCCAGAGCCTGATACCAGGGCTCAGTTCCTTCCCCTTCTGTCATTTTCTTTTCTGTGTGATCTTGCACAAATGATATCTTATCTCTGTACTTCATGCTCCATTAAAGTAAAGAGAATGAAAGCACTTACATCATAAGATGGCTTTAGAGATGAAATGAGGTTTTTGACAGATAAAGCACCTGGCCAGTAATTTGACAAGCCAGCATATTGGGTATGCCTATTATTATTGCGACTCTGTGCTAGAGGGTTCAGGAAGGATTACCTTCGAAACACTGAACCCAGGCTACTACTCTATGAAGCTTATTTGTCTATTTGGAACCTACATCTGAGTTGCCAAATGTAACTGGAGAAAAATATTCAACTATGCTTGATCAGCCTTACTTGACATTCATGTCCAACGTCAAGTGTCCCATGGTACCTTCCAGAAATCTGACAGTTTCCCAACCATTCCTCTCTCCTGGTCACTCTCAGTTGATAACCATGCTGCTGCTTTCATTGGAAAAGAGAAATCAGGAACGAATCGCCACATACTCCAGGATGGCACCTTTTATCTCAGAGTTTTGACAGCTCCATGTATAGAGACATCTCTAAATCATTGTACCCAGAAGTGAACATGGCACCCCCTTCCTTCCACTTTCTCAGGAGAAAGATCAGGGATTTATCCTTTGACTCCTATCTTTCTCTCCACACCTCTGAGTTGACCCAAGTCCTATCTGCTCTTTCTCTAAACAAGAGGAGACTCTGACCAGCCTCCATCACTGCCCATGCCTGAATCCAAGCCAACATCTATCACTCAGGTTATAACTGGTCTCGCTGCCTTTGTCTTTGCACCCTTAGGATTCATTGCAACACAGCAGATTGAGTAATCCTCTCTGTGAGGTCTCTTCTTCCTCAGGATAAAGGGCCTGTGTAAACTGACCATTTGCCGCCCCAGCTGCTTGCTCACCACTCTCCCACCAGACTCTCTCCAAGGCTCCTGCCTCTAGGGCTTTGTGTCTGCTGTTTCCTGTGCTTGGAAAGCCTCCCCCTCACCCCAAATCAAGACGTCACTGTGGCTCATTCATCTCCAATGCTACCTCATCTACAGAAGGCTTGACTACTAGCCCTATATAAAACAAGATACCCCCCACAACATCTCCCAGCCTCTTTTTCCATACATTTTTGTTCTATGATTTTATCACCATCTAAACATCTTATTTGTTTACTTGGTTATACAGTCTCTCCCATGACACTGGGATGAAAGCACCACAGGAATATTTGGCTAACTGCTGTATCTGAAATGCATAGCAGGTTTTGCGGAATTTATTGAAAAGAATGGATGAATGGTGGCCTCTAATGCCCATGAGCAAATCAGCTTAGAAAATGAGAATCTACCACGTATTGAGTCCTATTGGATGCCATTGTCTACACAAGCAAGCTTGATTAATCCATATCAGCCACATGAGAAGCTCAGCAATCCATCCTAATGTCCCACAGCTAGAAAGGGCCAAGCTTAGGTTCACATCCAGGGCCATCTGATTCAAGGCACATGGACAATGAAAGATTTAACAGCTCACATCAGAAGAGCAGGTATTTGCAGAAATAATTACTGTTTAAAATAATAACTGACCTTCCTGATAATGTTTCCTCTCCAGGTTCATGACTACCTCCGCAGCAAGTTGTGTTCCCTCTATGAAAATGACTGCATTTTTGATAAATTTGAGTGTGTATGGAATGGGTCAGACAGGTAAGAAAGGCTCTGTGGCTGAGGAACCTTCCAAAAGTTGCCTTGAGGCAGTGTTGGGCAATTTATCCTGAGTACAGCCAAAGGGAGGTCAAAATTGGGTCCCAAAGCCTGGCTGAAATGCATAATGTGGGCCCCTTGTGACCCTTGAAGTCATGCCTGGAAAGAAGGGAAGGACGTGGTAAGACCCTTGAATCCTGTTTCTGAAATGACACAGATAACAACTTAATGTTAATAAGAAAGTCCTACCTTTTGCACACAAGACACTTCCAGTGCTAGGTCAACATGCCTAAACGAAGATCACTTATCCACCAGCAAATTCCAGCCTGAACAGTTCAGATTACTTCCAAGTGGGCTTTCCACATCAAAAATTATCCCTTGAAGCTGATAGTGGAGACCTGGCCAATGGCCCTGGTGGTTCATTAACTGAAATCTAGTCAACCTCATTTATCACATTCCCTCAAAGTGAGTTATTCCTAGTTTAAGGCCTTTGATTTGAGCAGTACTTCATAATGCCTCCCAATAGTTCATTTTTAGTTTGACAAATACAAATGATTCTCTGACTTTCGTGAGAACTAAATGCAAGCAACCAGGGGCTGATTTCGTTCCCTGATGAAGGTGGCACCAATAATACTGTTTCAAAAGCATAGAAATTCTATTATGGCAAGACATTCAGACATTTGAGCTTTTAGTGAATATGAACTGTCTGTCTGTCTGTCTGTCTCTCTCTCTCTGTCTCTCTCTCTCTCTCTCTCTCTCTCGCTCTCTCTCGCTCTCTCTCTCTTGCTCTGTTTCTTGGCTTTCTTTGCCACTGATCCAAAATTAAACCCCTACCTTGCAGGCTTGGAAAGAGTCCCCACATGGTAAAGGACCCAAGTCACACTGACCAGTTGGTATAGGACAGAGAGCAAAGTAACTGACATATGAACAAAATACCCCATGGGGAAAAGAAGCCTGCCCTATCATTTTATTCTTTATTTATTTATATAGATATTTATTTATTCATATATTATTATGTACATATCTGTTGCAATTGCTCAAATTTTTCCTCTATCTTAGCTTTGATTCAAAACTACGCTTATTAGACACCTACTATATGCCAAACACCTTCATATACATCATTTTATTTAATCCCAGCCACAGTCTAACAAGATTGTTTTCATCATTCTCATTTTACAGTTAAGGAAATTGAGGCTTAGCAAGATAAAGCAATCTTCCCAACCTCATAAAGTAGTAAGTAGTAGAGACAATAGTGAGAAGTTTTGAGTTTGAATCCTAACATCAACCTTCTTTCTATAACATCACAACTGGGAGATTTTATTTCTCTTTCAGATAAGGTTGGTATTATTTTCAAAAAAAAAAAAAAAAAAGACTATCTCTTCCTTGTTTAAAAGTAAGTCGGGTCATGGTGGGGAAGCAAATGGCAAAGCATGGGAAGCAGTGAAGCCAACTGGCTACTACTTATGCCCCAGAGTCAAGCATATGTGGGTTTGAAGGTGGACTTTACCACCTACTAGCAATGTGACACTGAGCAAAGTACTTACTTCTCGATAAAAGCCTTTTGTGGGATAATAGAAAATGAGATCATGGAGGCAAAGCCCTCAGCACCCTGCCTGACAAGGTAGTAACAGTCCACTTGAGTACACAGACACAGTTCACAACATCAGTTTGATGAGCCAGAGTAGCAAAATCTAACCTTTGCATAATTTACCTGGTACAGCTAAGGATGTGCCCAAAAGCACATCCCCCTTGTTCTGGCCCAATCTTGTCAGCTTTTTCTTTCACCTCTCTACACATCCCAAATCATTTGAGAAAGAGAGTTCGTGCTCTCCCATCTTAAGGAGCCAGTCAGAGCTCCACCCAGAAGTGAGTGGGAGCCAGCCCCTCCTAGGGAACCCCTGTGTGACGGCATTTGCAGACATCCTTGCCCAAGGAATCTCTCTCCCGCTACCTCAGCTTGTCACCGTGTCTGAAATGTTACCATTATTCAGTACCTTGCTTCTGGAAGACACTGGGTGTTCACTTCCCTTCTGATCAGTTGCAGCTATACCTAAGAGGGGATAACTCTTATAAAAATGTGGAAACCATCTGTCCATCTACTATAAAATTTTTTACTTCCTCATTCCAAATGCTTTTAAAATTTGAATTTGCTTACTTGCTTCCCAGGTAAGACCATGATGACATCTATTTTACAGATAAGCTTTCTAAAAAGGTCAAATTCTACACTAGTTCTCAGCAGGGGAGAGGACACACCCTGGGTCATGCACGGTGCCACCAGCATCTCTCCTGCTGCTGCACTGATGCCATAAACCCTTAGAGGTCAGATGGCCCAGGAACCCCCTAATGGTGGCCAAGCCTTCAACACATACAACTGCTTTTTGTTTTCAAAAGTGTGTCTACTTCATCAGACCTCATTCTAGTGTTACATTCCTGATGGGAGGTAGGTAGGACTGGGATCATCACAACCACTGGATACCTTTACTGAGCCAAAGAACCAAAAAGAATCTATGGAGCAAAAGTAAATTACAAGGAGAGTTCTCACCGTCTCTCCTTTTCAAGCCTAGCCAAAAAGCTTACCACATTCAGTGATTGATTGAAAAAAAAAAAGGGGGGCCAACAATCAACACTACAGAGCCTGTTCTCATTTTTCTGGTTTTTAGTTTCAGTAAAGTCTGTGGTGTCATAAGCTGGCTCTAGCAGGATATCATTTGCTCCAGAAAGACACAATGAAGACGGGTCATTGCCTTTCTCCATAACACTCGCTCACTCCCTCTCCTCTCTACCTTGTAGTGTCATCATGACGGGCTCCTACAACAACTTCTTCAGGATGTTCGACAGAAACACCAAGCGTGATGTGACCCTTGAGGCTTCAAGGGAAAACAGCAAGCCCCGGGCTATCCTCAAACCCCGAAAAGTGTGCGTTGGGGGCAAGCGGAGAAAAGATGAGATCAGTGTCGACAGCCTGGACTTTAGCAAAAAGATCTTGCATACAGCTTGGCATCCTTCAGAAAATATTATAGCAGTGGCGGCTACAAATAACCTATATATATTCCAGGACAAGGTTAACTAGGTGGACAAGTTATTACTTAATAATCTCACATACTGAATACTAGTCAAACAAGTTTTTAAATGTTTCTTTGGGTCTTCATTTGACGCATTGACTTTAATTTCCCTATGCAGGAAATGATTGGAATAGAATTCAAAGGAGTCCAACTTTCCCAGCTCCCCAGTTCTAAGAAACTTTTGTCAAATCCAATAGGTTTGGGACGCTTCTGTTTAGAATTGAAAGCTGCCAGCTAACAGTGATTCTTCCATAGTTGACTTGAACTTCTGATGCTTTTATTGCCCCATTTTCTCTGGTGGGTCCAGTGTTTTGTTCCTAGGTGTCTGCTGCGATAAAATGAGGTTGTCTGTAGTATTTAAGGAGAAAAGAGATAAGTTTTTTTTTTAATTAAGCAATTCCATTCGATTGAAAAAAAAATCAACAAAAAATAAACACCGTTTACTCTTAGACAAATTCTTCTTGTTTTGTGAAAAAAAAAAAACAAAACGAGTCAGTATCATCTCCTGCCACGCCACCACTTTTTTTTCGTTTCCCATTTTCCTTTTTTAAACAATTTCATTTAAGCCAGAGATTTACTGCATGAAGCCGAGAAGAGGACGCAGAATGACAAGGAAAGGGCACATCAACCCTGCTATGCTCTTTTTTTTGTAAGCTCCATAGAAACAGCCTGAGAATTTGGCTAGGAAACTTGAATGCTGCAGAGGACAGAAAGAGAGCACTTTCGACACAGTGCTTCCCAGAGTGAGCTTGGCAGGGCCAGGCAGGGCCAAATTCCATCTGCTGCCTTGTTACTCTTGCTTTTTGTCCTCTTAAATGGCTCCATATAATCCTCTACCTACATGTTCCTTGGCTTTTTTCTCTTCAACCTTTTCCAGCTTATTTATTCCATTGAGTTCTAAAGGCCGAGTCCTGGTTGCTTATTATCTGGTATTCTAAATGAAGCAGTAAGTTGGAAGCAGTGGCACCACCCCTGAGTCTCTGAGAAAGCCTGGTCTGTTCTTGGGTGTTTCTCCTAAGCAGCTCCCGCCCCTCCTCCTGGTTTTGGTAACCAAAAGTAACAATCCATCAACCTCCATTGTACCTAGAACAAAATTGACCAATAAAAATGCTGATTTGTAAAGTCCAATCAGGCACTTCTACCTCACCCCAAGCTTGCCATCTGGGAAAACAGATCAGAATGCTCTCTTCTACAGAAACGAACTGTGGGGAAATCCAAATCCAGCAGCTGTGACATCAGAGTGAATGGAGTCCACTTGAAGCTGTGGAAGATGGTTCATCCTTTTCCCCAGTTGAGGATCGAGATTTATAACTTTCAGAAAGCCATTTCCAGAAAGTTCTATGTGGCACACCTCTGGGAAAGGCACTAAATACATGCAAAGGATTTACAACTTAGGGAGGGTAGATGGGTGAAGTCCAGAAATCTGGGTCTGGGTTAATATCTCTATATCTGTCTTGATGACTCATTTCTCCTGACTTCCATTCAGTGCAGGGTGAATGGTTTGACATGAGAGTTTTTCATTGAAAGAGAATGTAATTTGCTTTGGAGGAGAAAGAAAATAGTGAAAGAATTATATTGTCTCAATTCTAAGTTACTATCCATTTACTAATAGCTTTTTGGCAAGGAAATAACTGTCACCTTAGGTAAAAATAGTTTTGTCAGATGCAGCACAATTTCAGGAACATTAAAATGTGAAAAAGTACATCTCAGAATGAAGGGAGCATGGGAACAAAACCGAGACTTTCTCTGTGTTTCTCATTGTTCCTGCAAAGAAAGCTTCTCCTTAGGATGTACAAACTGAGATCCAGAGTAGGATGAGTTTGCCAGAAAAGAAAGAGCAGAGAGCAGCCATCCTCTCCTCCGTCCCCTGCAAAGCGTGCATTAGAGCAAACACCCAAGATTCCTGGACAGGAACAGGACGGGAAAGACCTAAAGATTAGGCCTCAGGGAAAAACCACCACGATGTTTTACAAATTACCTGTTCTTTACCAGGAGCTGAACTAGTTATTTCCTATGTGTGATCTTTCAGCCCCAGTACTAGCAATATCTCTTAGATAGTGGCACATAGCAGTCAGTCTGTTTTCCAGCTGACACTAAAAACTGCTTGAAGGCTGATTTGCTACCTTGCAACAATTGGTTTGATTCTAAGGGTCTTGTACTACTTTACACTGGTAAGAGCCATCAGATTACAACTGGAGGCTATCAGTTGAATGAAGGAAAATGGAAGCCACGCCATCTTTGGCTTTTGATAAAATCATCCTTTTGCAACATTCAGTTCCTGACATTAAAAACGAGTCATGTAAAAAGCTAAACTTTTGTAGACATTCATGCTTTTCTGTCAGGAGGAGGAAGATTAGTTGGAAAAAAACAAAAAAAAAAAAGGAAGACACTAGCCAGCATCAAGTAGTGGGATATGCATAGGCAGATGGGCAGTGGGAATCGAGTTGCTTCTTAACTCCTTAAAGTGTGGTTCCTGCCTTTACTCTTCTTTTTGGAAAAAAAAAAAAAAAGCACCTTTAAACCTCTAATTAGTCTTGCAATTCATTCAACCAAATCAGCATGTATTAGACAACATGGAACAATTGTAAGGTGGAACAAAGATGAAGCTAAAATTCTGCTAGCTCAGTGGCCCAATAAAAAAGTCTGCTATCTTCATTAAACTTCCTCTGAGCATTCTAGGGTCCATTATAATAAAAAAAAAGTACACCTTCAAATGCCCAGTTTCTAAGGACTCTTGGGAAGCCATGATTTCCCTTCCTTCAAGCCTACGGAGCAACTGCCTAAAGCTTCACTCCCCTACCACCCCAGACCTCATTTCTTTTTCAGTCCTTTTGCTAGCTGCCTGCAGGAGTCAAGAAAGCCCTGGTAAGCCTCATAACGAAGATTTAGGGATGACACTATAGTCCACAGCATGAATGGTGGAACCCTTACTAATTTTCCCTGTTCCATGATGAATGTGTGGATGAGGCTAGTGTGTTTTCAATAATGCCACCTGCCTTCCAAAACAAATCCCCTAACACAGCCTTTGGACATATCACCCTGAATGCACCTGATCTCATCTGATCTTGGAAGTGAAACAGAGTCGGGCCTGGTTAGTCTTTGGATGGGGAAAATCTAGACACACCACTGGGAAACATTCACATGGCAACCTGATTCACTGTGTGTCCATCATGCCTTCATTCACCTCCTTCCCTGTACTGCTAAGTCAGCTCTCAGGGACTGCTTTCCATGGGAGCAGCCAACCTGTCCATGGAAAGAGGATGGGACTAGAGACAGGAAACATGGGTCCTGTTAACCAAGGAAACCTGCTCCTTGTAACCAAGGAACTTAGGCTACCCGCTCAGTCCCTATGTCAGCATCATCACCTGTAAAATGGCCAGAATAACATCTATCCTATCTCAGAGAATTATTAAGAGGACAAGAAATCCATTTACTTATAACTGCTTTGATAAGTTTAAAGCACCATAAAATAATAATAGCAAGAACACTGATGGGTAATATACTTTTGCTTTCTATGCCTCATCTCATTATCCCCTCCCCCACACCCCATGATGGCATTAGAATTTCCATTTTGCAAATGAGAAAATAGACTCAAGTTGTCAACCTAGCCAAGGGCACAAAGCCAGAGAGAGATGGAACCAGGACTCCAACTCAAGGTATCAGACTCTAAAGCCAGAGCTGTTAAAATATGGCTCTAATATACAGTAGTTGCCAACATTTATTGAGCACTTATTATGAGCCAGGCTTTGTTCTACAAATTTCACATGTATTGACCTCTTTACCCCTAAAACTCCAGATGCGTATACTACTGTTCTCATTTTATAGATACAGAAACAAAGACATATGACACACAAATTTACACAGTTCACAAGTGAAAAAGCCAGGCAGTTTTAGTCAAAGTTCTTATCCACTATCCCCATCGTAATTAGGTATATATACGTATGTATGTGTGTGCATGTGTGTGTGTGTGTGTGTGTGTGTGTGTGTGTGTATGCATGTAGATGGAAGTTACTGATTAGAAAACAAATCCCAATAATGACCCATAAGCTCAATGAATGAAAGATTCATTGGTTGCCTGGGATGTGTCAGGAAGCCAGGCTCTAGGCAAGGTGCTGGAGTCACAGAGATGTTTAAGCCACTGGTCCCTGCCCTCCAAGAGATGACACTCACATAGGAGAAAGTGCATATTGTAAACATATTTACAATGAGGCATGTACAAAGGGCAGAAAACATACAGAGGAAGAAATGGTTAATCAATGACTGATGAGAAAAGGCTCTCAGAGTAAGTGTCATCTAAGCAGAATTTTAACTCAATTTGCTCAACAAAGCATAATACAGCATTTCCAATAGGTAGACCAGCATATACCAGAAAATGAAGCAAAATCCATATGGCATGGGAACAGAAAGCCAATGTTTCTCTCCTTCCATTAGAAACACATTTTCAACATACTAGAACTAGCCTGCCCCTTTTTCCTTTTGTTCATCCAATAACAAATATTTATTAAACCTTATTTTTAAGCACTTTATTTAAGTGTAAAATAGATGGAAAGACTAAAAGGAAACCAGTATTTCCTGGGCAATTATTGTAATGACAGGCATTGGGAGAGGCACTGTTTTAAATCATTGTAATCACCTGGTAGGTAGATACCTCATTTTTATAGGGAGAAACAGACTCAGAAGGGTTAAACAACATAGTCAGAAGTTTTTTCTAGATCTCTCCTGTTTCAGATCCTATACTTCTTCCATCACAGTGATAAGTAATGCAGAGATACCTTGGCTTGATTATTTTCCCTAGCGTGAATACTCACAAACACACCATTTCTCTGTGACTAAATTTTCCTGACAGCTGACCAAGAATAAAAATGTGATCTGTCATCAAAGCAGAGAGTGAAGTCAAGTGACTCACAGGTCTCCAACTCCTGACCCCGACCTTATTATGACTGATTAACTGTCCCCCAATTTAGATATTCCATGCCCCATTGGTTAAACTGCTGGTGGCAGAACCATGGTGCTCTGCCATCTCTGCTGATCCCTGCCTCAGCTGCAATCAAAGCAACGATCACAGTCAGGCCAGAAGCAGGGGCTTAGCCACTGCCAAGACAGATCCCAGTCCACTCCCAGCCTTCCTGCACCTGCTACCCATTCCCCAAAAAGTCAACCGGCTTTTCCTGGAAAACAGCACCCACTGAAACCCTCCCTTGCTTGCCCATCTCAAGCCCTCTCAATTGCCACTCCAATCATCTTGGCTGCTGCATTTGGTTTGAAGAGAGTGGAGAGTACACTTCTTCAGAATTCATCTTTGGCAGAAAGCTGAAAATTGTAGGAATGGGCCATGAGTGCTGGGATTCTTGCTCGGGTTGGCTAGGGATGCATTCTCTTCCAGCCAGAGTAATAACATTTTTGTGGGAGTCATAGAATCATGGAAGGCCCCAAGAAGCTGGAGTAGAAG